TGTTATTGGTCTGTTCAGGTTTCAGATTTGTTCATGGTAGCATTTTGGTAGGTTGTATGTGTTTAGGAATTTATCCATTTCTTCTAGACTTTCCAATGTGTAAGTATATAGTTGCTCATAGTAGTCTTTAATGATCCTTTGCATTTCTTGGTATTAGTTATGTCTCCTTTTTCCCTTCTGATTTTATTTATTTTTGATCTTTTCTTTTCCTTTGGCTAAAGGTTTGCCTATTTTTTCAAAACAACAACTTTTCATTTCATTGATCTTTTGTATTTTTTTGATCTGTTTGTTTCAATTTAACTTATTTCTGCTCTGACCTTTATTCTTTCTTTTCTTCTGCTAATTTTGGGTTTGGTTTGCTCTTGCTTTTCTAGTTCTTTAAGATGCATCATTAGGTTATTTATTTGATGTTTTTCCACTTTTTGATGTAGGTGCTTATTCCTATAAACTCTCTTAGTACTGCTTTCATTGTATCACATAGGTTTTGATATGTTGTTTCCATTATGATTTGTTTCAAGAAATTTTAAAAATTTCCTTAATTTCTTCATTGACCCACTGATCATTCAGGAACATATTAATTTCCATGTTTTTGTCTAGTTTCCAAAGTTCCTCATTATTGATTTCTAGTTTTATTTCACTGTGGTCAGAGAAAATACCTGATATGATTTCAATTTTTTCTGAAATTTTTAAGACTTGTTTTGTGACTCAAATGTGGTCTGTCCTTGAGAATGATCCATATGCTAAGGAGAAGAATGTGTATCTGCAGCACTTGAATGAAATCTTTTGTAAATATTTATTAGGTCTATGTGGTCTATAAGGCAGATTAGGTCCAATGTTTCTTTGTTGACTTTCTGTCTGGATGATCTGTCCAGTGCTGCAAGTGGGATGTTGAAATCTCTAGCTATTATTCTATTGAAATATATCTCTCCCTTTAGTTCTAATAACATCTGCTTTATATATCTGGGTGCTCCAGTGTTGGGTACATATATATTTATAAATGTTATAATCTCTTGCTGAATTGACCCCTTTATCATTATCTAATGATCTTGTCCCTTTTTATAGTTTTTGTCTTGAAATCTATTTTGTCTAAGTATAAGCTACTCCTGATCACTTCTGGTTTCAATTTGTATGCAATATCTTTTTCTATTTCTTTATTTTCAGTCCATGTGTGTCTTTGTAGGTAAAGTGTGCTTCTTGTAGGCAACAGATCATTGGGTTTTGTTTTTTATCCACTGAGCCATTCTATGTCTTTTAACTAGAGAGTTTAGTTCATTTACATTCAATGTTATTATTGATAAGTTAGGACTTAGTCCTGCCATTTTGTTATTTATTTTCTGGTTTGGTGGTCTTCTCTTCCTTCCTTCCTGTCTTCCTTTTTGTGAAGGTGGTTTTCTCTGGTGGTATACTTTTTATTTTTTGTGTATCTTTTGTAGGTTTTTGAGCTTACCATGAGGTTTGCAATATTATTTATTTGAGACAGGGTCTCGCTCTTGTAGCCCAGGCTGGAGTGCAATGGTGTGATCTCAGCTCACTGCAACCTCCACCTTCCGGGTTCAAGCGATTCTCCTGCCTCAGCCTCCTGAGTAGCTGGGATTACAGGTGCTCGCCACCATGCCTGGCTAATTTTTGTATTATTAGTAGAGATGGGATTTCACCATGTTGGCCAAGCTGGTCTTGAACTCCTGACCTCAGGTGAGCCACCAGCTTTGGCCTCCCAAAGTGCTGGGATTATAGACCTGAGCCACTGTGCCCGGCTAATAATCCATTATTTTTAAACTAATGACAACTAAATACTGATTGCAAAAACAAGCAGATAAAATTAATAAAAACTTTAACTTCATCCCCCGCTGTTTCTTAACTTTGTTGTTTCTATTTATATCTTACACTGTCTTGAAAAGTAGTTTTTTAAATAGATGCATCTTTTAGTCTTCTGCTGTTTATTTCAATGATTTCACGCTAATCTTTTATCTATTTATTTTTTAACTTTTAATTTTTTTTTTTTTTAAAAGAGACACAGTATTGCTATATTGCCCAAGTTGGTCTCTTAACTCCTGGCCTCAAGCAATCCTTCTGCCTTGGCCTCCCAAAGTGCTGGGATTACAGGTGTGAGCCACCATGCCTGGCCCACACTAATCTTTTATATTCTTATCCTTTGACTTTATTTAGGTATAGTTTGTTCTTCTTTACTAGCTTCTTAGGGTAGAATATTGGTCATTGATCTGAGACCTTTCTCCTTTTCTGATACAGGCATTTGAAGCTGTACATTTCCCTCTAAGCATTGCCTTAGTTGCATCTAATAAATTTTGATGTTCCTCAAAATTTTCAAGTTCAAAATATTTTTAAATTTCTCTTGTGATTTATTCTTTGACTTATGGTTTAGAAGTGCATTTAATTTCCAAATATTTGGGGTTTTATTTCTGGTCAGCATCTCCAATTTAATTCTGTTGTGGCCAGAGAACATACTTTGTATGAATTCAGTCTTTCAAAATTTGCTAGGCACGATGGCACGTGCCTGTAGTCCCAGGTACTCAGGAGCCTGAGATGAGAGCATTGCTTGAGCCTAGGAGTTCAAGACCAGCCAGGGTAACATAGCAAGACTCCATCTCTTAAAAAAAATTTGTTTTAGTTTATTGAGACTTGTTTTGTGGCCTACCACAGGCCTATCCTGGAGAATGCTGCATGTGGGATTCACACCCAAGGAATGTCATTGTGTTGGTTAAGTAACTTGCACAGACTAATTCTGTGACTCCCGTCTCCTCTACAATATGCAGCTGCTGATCTTTCTTGCTCAGTTTTTTTCCCCTTGTTCTTATTTTTAAGTCTAGCTCTCTAGTTTAAAATGTTCTATCTTTCTAGGCTTAAAAATGTCTGCAGAGGTTAGTGTTCAAGCCAATTACTGGTCAGAGATTGTGCTCAACACCTCTGATAGCTAGCAAGGCTTCCATTCTCTGCTGACAGATCCATGTGTGGGCTAGAGACACATTCAGAGTTCCAGCTTTTTCAAGTGAGTCCTGGCTTTTACTTTCTTCTGAGTACTCTTGGTCTCTTCACCTGTGTGGGCAGGCTCCACTGTCCGGGAACATGTGGGAGGCTTGGTCTCTGCTATGCTGTATGCACAGCCTCTGGTCGGCTTGGGATATGTAGAGACCTTATCAGTACCTCCCCACTCCCTTGGCTGTTTTATCTCATCAAACTCCCTCTTAAATCCCCGCCTAGTCCACTGGTTGATGGTTTCTCCCAAACAGGCCCACAACCTCAGGCTAGCAAAGCCACTGGCCCTTCCTGCCACTGAAATGGCCACTTCAATTCCCAGTGCTATAAATCAGAGTTTCTCAACCTCAGCACTACTGGCACTTTAGACCAGATAATTCTTTGTTTGGGGGAGGTGGGGGGGGTCCCCTGAGCATTGCAGGAGGTTTAGCAGCATCCCTGGTCTCTACCCACTAGATACGGTAATACTTTCCCCCCACCACACCCCCACAGTTGTTACAACAAAAACATCCCAGAAATTGCCATCCCCATTTGAGAAACACTGGTCCAGGGTACATCAGTCATAATTTGGGAGAAGTCTTTCTTTAGCCAAAAAAGATCACGCCATGACATATAATAACCAGAAATATACATACCATATTTCAAAGTTCAAGAGGCATACATCTCCTAACGCCAGTGCATTACCTCTTGTTCAAATATGTACAAACCACAAAATACTCCGCACCTCTCATGGGAACAAAATAAAAATAACCAAGTATCTATTGGCCAATAATCCTGACTGAGGATGAGCTGTGCCTGTAGTTCAGAAGATCTGGAATCATGTTGGGAAAATGAGGCTAATGAAAGAAACAGTACTTTTTCCAAAGCAATTCTCGTCTTCCAGATGAGACATAATCACAGACTGCAGTTTGTGAGGGCTGCTTGTCTCATATGGAATAAGCTAACCACCACTGTCTGCCATGTGTGCTAGGCAAAATAATGGCCCCCAAGTTTCAAAGTCCACATTGTAATCCCCAGAACCTGTGAGGACTTTGCGGGTGCGATTAAGAATCTGGAGATGGGGGATTATCCGGGGTCATCCAAGCGGGCCCAATGTAAATACAAGGGTCCTTAGAAGAGGGAGGCAGGAGGATCAGAGGAGATGTGAGGCTGGAAGCAGAGGCTGGAGTGATGTGGGGCCACCAGCCAATGAATACAGAAGGAATTCTAGAAGCTAGAAAAAGCAGAGAAACATTCTCAGCTAGGGCCTTCGTAAGGAACCAGCTCTTGATTTTGGCACAGTGAGACCCAATTCAAACTTCTAACCTCCAGAACTGTAAAAGAATAAATTTGCGTGTGTGTGTGTGTGTGACCAAGTCTCGCTCTGTCCCCCAGGCTAGAGTGCAGTGGCACATCCTAGGTTCAAGCAATTCTCATGCCTCAGCCTCCCAAGTAGCTGGGATTACAGCGCCACCTTGCCTGGCTAATTTTTGTATTTTTAGAGACGGGGTTTCACCATGTTGGCCAGGCTGGTCTTGAACTCCTGACCTCAAGTGATCTGCCCTCCTCAGCCTCCTAAAGTACTGGGATTACAGGCATGAGCCACCGTGCCTGGCCCAAATTTATGTTATTTTTAAGCCACTACGTTTGCAGTAATTTGCTACATAGCCACAGGAAACCAACACACCACCCCTATACCATGTGTAGTCCAGTCTCCCGGACCAACTGGTTGCTGGCCACCAATTCTACCTTTATTTTCTAGGGAGGCCATATGGTATGGTGGTGAAGCCTGGGTGCTGTGGGGTTGTGTTCAAAACACAACTACTTCTGTGTAACACGGACAAGTGATCCGACTCGTCTTGGACAGCCACCCTCGGCGAAGAAAGGGAGATAAGGGCGCCCATCCAGCGCTATGAGAACTCAGTGAAGCAATGCCATGCGAACGGCTTAGCAAAGTGCCTGCTGCATGACACCTGCTCTTAAAGTTGCATCATCACGACCCTCTTGCCCATTTCTGTCTCCCCTCCTAGTGTGTCTATGGCGGAGTCCTAAGAGGAACTGGGAAGCAGGCCTTTGGTGCCGCTGTGAATGCCATCACCTACTACATCATCGGCCTACCACTGGGCATCCTTCTGACCTTTCTGGTCAGAATGAGAATCATGGGTATGTGGTGTGAGGAAGTCGGGAGGGGCCTGGGTGGTCGGTCGGACACTGTTCCCATCATCACTTGTCTCCTCCAGGCCTCTGGCTGGGCATGCTGGCCTGTGTCTTCCTGGCAACTGCTGCCTTTGTTGCCTATACTGCCCGGCTGGACTGGAAGCTTGCCGCAGAGGAGGTAAGTGGGTCGGCTGCCCCTGGCCACAGGACACATCCTGCACCTGACCCCAGCAGGTAGAGTGACTACTCAGCCAGAAATGCCCAGAACACACGAGAACTTGGCGGCAGCGTGGTATAAGCTGCAGGTGTTTTGTGGGGGATTACAGAGGGGCCACCTGAGCCTCAACAGTGGCTCCTGTCACTGTAGTTGGCCAGGATAAGAAGCACGCTCTGCGGTTATACACAGAAACAAAACCAAAAACCTTCCTTAGACAGCCCCATCTGTGGAAAACCAAACAAACACAAAGAACTCAAACCAGTCTGAACCCGGATGAACCCCCGAGCGTGTGCCTTGACTTTGGAAGGGGTAATAAAACCACCCTGCCCACCATCCTCTTTGATGTCCTTTTTAAACAGGGCAGGGCAGCCTTTGCATCTCAGGCACAGCGAAGGCACGACTCAGTCTGCAAGCAGAGCACAGAAGCAGTGTTCTCTCAAAGACCCTGAATATCATCAGAGTGTGGTTCTGCCTCTGTGCACAGAAAAAGTCATCCTGACACTTAAGATGCTGGATAAACAGATATTTAACATGATACATGTATTTATTTGAGATGGAGTATCGCTCTGTTGCCCAGGATGGAGTGTAGTGGCGCGATCTTGGCTCAATGCAACCTCTGCCTCTCAGGGCTGACATTCTCCTGCCTCAGCCTCCTGAGTAGCTAGGACTACAGACATGTGCCACCACACACAGCTACTTTTTTAGTATTTTTGGTAGGGACAGGTTTCACTATATTGCCCAGGCTGGCCTTGAACTCCTGAGCTCAAGCGATCCACCGCCTCGGCCTCCCAAAGTGCTGGGATTACAAGTGTGAGCCACCACGCCCAGCCTTAAAATGATACTTTCTAAAAGCCCCACCAACTATGAATACATGCACATGTGCTGCTTCAGCTTGCAATGCTTTAAAACCAGTGAATGCGAGGCCAGCGGTGAAGGCGTGAACTGCTGAGCTGGCAGTTGACCCAAGCGAGTTCTTTCTCCTTTAGGCGAAGAAACACTCAGGCCAGCAGCAGCAGCAGAGAGCAGACAGCACTGCACCCAGACCTGGGCCTGAGAAAGCAGTCCTATCTTCAGGTAATGCTGTCACGGCTGCTTCTACTTTGGTACACATAGAAATGTCAGTGGCATGTTGCTCCTGTCTGCCCTCTGTGCCTCATGCAATTGGAAACTGTACAAGCCAAAGCTGTTTTTCTTCCATTATGAAAATGATGTCCTAAGCACCAGGAAGACAACATCATCATTTATTGTCTAGCAGGCATGCAAGTACCAGGCCCTACGTCAAGTCTTTGGCCTTAAGAGGCAACTAGATGTATGCCCATTTTCAGATGAGGAAGTGAGGCTGAAAGAACTCAGGTATTTCCTCCCTCATCCCACAACTTGTAAAGGCCAGACATAAGATCTGAGCATCAACCCGTCGGACTCTAAAGCTCATGATCTCCCCCACTGAATTCTGCTCAAGATGAAAAGCCAACTTTTAACCTCCGGGGAGCCCGGCTGACTCACCGGCTTTGGGGGGGCACCTGCTACCTACCTCTCTCCACCTCCTCAGGCAGACAAGCATCTCTCTGGTTTATGCCCAATGTCCATGTCATGAAGTGATGGCCCCAGCTCTGCCCCACGGCTGGTCCTGAGTGCCAGGTGTGTGTGCAAATGGCCCAAAGCTCAGGAAGATGATGTCTCCGTGACCTCATCCATCCTGGGCTAATCCTTGATCAGGGCAGTAGTGAGGCAGCTAAAACTCTGGGAGTGTCAGGTGTCATGAGAGAATACAGTAAGACACGATTGTGTTTCCCATGTGCTTCTGAAGCCACAGATCATCACAGGGCCAAGCACCGACAAGAACACTCCTCACCAGATCTCAGTAGTAAGCCTTATCTGCGTGTGAAATTCAGTTTAAGACGCTTTCCTGCATATCCCCTCCTCTGATCTTGCTTGCAAAGCAGATAAAGCAGGTATTTTTCTATTGTATAGGCATTGTCCCTTGTGAGGTGTAACAAACACAGCCAGGTGGTTAATCTAGGTTTTCTGATTCCAAGGCCAAAGCTCTCCCTCTGACCCCTGACCTGCTGAGTTTGCTCCTGTTTGCTTCCACAGTGGCTACAGGGAGTTCCCCTGGCATTACCTTGACAACGTATTCAAGGTCTGATTGCCACGTGGACCTCTTCAGGACTCCAGAGGAGGCCCACACCCTTTCAGCTCCTGCCAGCAGACTGTCAGTGAAACAGCTGGTCATCCGCCGTGGGGCTGCTCTGGGGGCGGCGTCAGCCACACTGCTGGTGGGGCTCGCGGTCAGGATCCTAGCCACCAGGCACTAGCAAAGCAGCTTGGAAACAGAAAGCCAGGAGTGGCTGTCCCCGGTACCCAAACACACCACGGTCTCCCCTGCAAAAGCGCCAATGGGGTCCAGTGCAGGAGGACACTTTGAACGACTCCTCAGAAAAAGAACTTTGGCTGATTCCTTGTGGTGACACTCAGAGGGGTCTGAACAGAGCGGACTTCACAGTTCTGTTCTGGTCAAGCTGGAGTTTTCTTCTCTGGCCTGGATTGCTCTGTAGAAGACATCAGCCAACTGCACGAGTCAGAGTCCAGGGACTGCCACTATAATGAATAATGTAAATGGCTTCAAATGGGAGACTGCGGATACAATCACCAAAACCACTGTTACATTAAAGATTACACGTTTCCTAGGCACAGCCTGAGGCTCAAGTCTGTCATGAAGCCTCTGTGAAGCTCTGAGAACGGGGCCAGTGGGTTCTGTCCGGGCAACTCCTGTGTGCCCCCAGCAGATACAGGTGCTGTGAGACCCTGACCAGGGCGGTGGCTGTCCATATACCCTTCTTCCCCTTTTCTCCAGTTCTTTCATTCCATCAGCATTTTCATTTATCACAGACTTTGAGAAACACTTGTTCTTACTGTACTTTTTCTTCTAGTAGTGACGTGATATAAATAAGGGCAGAAAACAAGTAGGAACAGGGCACAGCAAAGTCATCATGGAAGCAATTCCAGACTCTAAGGCACTGTTTCCCCAAGTGTGGTCCACGGTTAACAGGTGTTAAGGTAAACGGCTCCACGGTCAAGGAAGTCTGGGAACTGCACATACTAGCACTTCAGAGGTTCCGAAGGACCTGTGTCCTTTAGTTTGCTGATGTGCTTTACAAGCCAGTGGTATACAGGACCTGCGGCAGGATCATTTTTGTGTGTAAAATCTTGTGGGATTAGCGTTCTACAAATATGCTTACAGTTGTTCTAGATCAGCAACTGGGGGTAAGAGGACGCCATTGGAAAAACCTATTTACTACAGCTACTAACCACCACCCCCAACACACACAGCAGAACCATGAGGTTTGAGAAAATCTTCTCGGCTAAGAATTTTAAAATGAGAAAGCATGACCAAAAAAAGTTGACAAACACCATCTATGATAAAGACATAAAAGGATTTATAGTTGGGGAGAATTTATAACCCAAGGATTATCTCCAATAGGGAACATCTGAGGTTCCACACCAGGAACGTCATTAAAATTGATGCCAATTTTATGAAAGATGTTCATTTTGAAGCAGATATGTATTAGTAGACAAGCCAGTAATTTAAACATACTCAATGAAAATTCCATAATGCAATTTTATCTAAGGTATTTTATGATTACTCTCTTAGAGCCAGTTTTAAGCAGCTTTTTCCTAAACTGGGCTAGTTATGAATTCTCGACACTTCATGCTATGATGAAGACATCACATACTTTAGACAGCCTTAATAGAACAAATTATTCAACAAAGTTGATTATACATTCTATAAAGTAAATTACATTCTGTCATTGAGTGAGCTGAGTCTTTTTGAGTGTGGGGACGCGTCTCTGCTGTCAGGAGCTCCAGGGCATAGCCCTGCCTGCCCTGCCCCGTCCAGCAGGCAACACTGCGTTCCGCAGGCCTCTTCTTCAGCCTTGTCCACTCAGCTGAGTACCTCAGTTTGTGGCCGTGGACGACTGATGAGAGTAACTTCTGACTTGCTCAGGGGATCCTTTTGCCATCCATCCCCTTCAGTACGACCAATTGCAGTGGCTTACTCGCTTCGTGTCCAGACCATCCACCAACTGTCTGCCCCGTGCAGCTCTCAAACCCCAAAGTCCTAATATCCAACGCCTCTTTGTCTGCGAGAGGCAATGGTTCCCTCACTTTCAGTTCTGTAGGCTATTCAGAAAGGGATCTCTCTATAGTTTAAAAAAGTGAAATTTTACTTGCACTGTGCTACAGAAATAAGAAACTTACAGATTTGTCCTTGAAGACCTACTAACCTGCAACCTTAGGGTCCTGAGAGAGGATTCGTGTAAGTACTTTTATGACAGTATTTTTTGTTTGGGAGACAGGGTCTTGCTCTGTTGCCCAAGCTGAAGGGCAGTGGTGCAATCACAGCCCACCGCAGCCTTGGCCTTGCAGGCTCAATCGATCCTCATGCTTCAGCCTCCTGAGCACAGGCTCATGCCACCACATCTAGCTTATTTTTACTTTTTGGTAGAGATGAGGTCTCACTATGGGGTCCAGGCAGGTCTCAAATTCCTGGACTCAAGCAATCCTCCCACCTCGGCCTCCCAAAGTGCTGGGATTACAGGCATGAGCCACCATGTCCGGCTACAGTATTTTTAAAATGCCAGTTAGGTTTTATAAGATGTAGAATTCTGTAACTCCAACACAAGAATGACAGGTGATGCTTGCATGACTTTGGCAACTAACTTCCAGGAAGCCCTAGGATTTACAAGATGCTTTGAGTGATATTAGTCACAAGAGATTGTTGCAACTAAACAGAACACAGGATGATGGAGCATGAATGAGGGAGAATGAAGACCACTGGTGAGATGGCACTTTTGACCAGGGGCCTGACTCCTGGAGGTCAAGTCCTTGAGTCCCATTGGAGGAAGAGTAACCCCTCCCTCCCCCACATAGGGTTTTAGTGCCTGAAATCTCACAGGGAACCGATACCATCTGACCTCACCTCTCTGACTACAGAGGACTGCTGGTAGCCCTGGGAAGCACCAGGCTCTTGAAAGCTTCATACAGTGATGGTGGTAGCAGGGGCAGGAGGTGGGCAGTGCCATTACCTGGAGGGAAGGATTCACTAAGTAGGTTCTGAGACTCCCTTAAAGTTTGTATTTAGTCTAATACATTCTCCTCCCCTAGCTCAAAGCTCCAAGATTTAGATAAGCACAATTTAAGGCAGGTTCCCTGAATATGCTATTAGGGAATGTTGGGATTTGGTTGAAATGGCAAGTTTTATTAATGATGAATGGCAATGACTTTTGAGTTTGATCACAGTGTGTTTGCATATTTTCTTACTATTTTTGGTAGGATTTAAAAATTATTGGTTCATTAACCATTTAAAAGAGGAATAATTCAGTAGAGGCACTAGGAGGTTGAACGGGATCATTCTTCAGTAATATCCAGCCTGGAGAGAGGAAAAAGGGATCCAGTTTACTCAGCTGCTTTAAAAACCTACCCACAATCAGCCTTGCAACACAAGCTCAGCACTGGGACTCAGATACCTCCTGTCTGAAGAGACTCTACAGGCATTGTACAAAAAAGGACTACATATCCCTAGGAAGCCTAGGAAGCGTGGTTTGGGCTAAAGGATTACGCCCTTCCTCAAAAAAAAAAAATAACAATAATAGCGAGACTACGTGATAATGGAGGCTATATTCTGTCCACTGTCAATTAGCTAATGTTAGAGTAGAGACAGAAGATGAGAGTACTAACTTCTTATCCTGGCATGTTCAGTAGGAAGCTAAAGTCTCTACATGGAATTCAAAAACTGGTAAACAATTTTGTTTCTAAAATTCAAAAGTGGTACTGAATTTAATCCTTCCTGTTGAAGACTGAGGAAGGGTTGCTGCAATCTCAAGGTTCAAATGTCATATTTAGTTGTCAAAGGCCTAATGAAATTTATCAACATTAACCTCCTATGTTTCTCAACCTTTTAAAACCCACATCTCCCACAATGCCTTCTGTAGCTTATAAGCTTTATTGGAACTTTACTTTGTGTACAGTACTTACGCTCTAAATCCCTTCTAATTCTAGTAAGGTAGTTAATAAAATAAAATCCAAGGGTGAAACAAAATAAGGAAACTATTAAGTACATAAAAACCATTTCAGAAAAATGTAATTACAATAAATAGACTCTTCAGGCAAATATACAGTACAGATTCAAAGCCATTTATTTAAAATAAAAGGCAATTTGATAAAAAGAGGATTAAAAGCTCAGAGAGGAGCAGAAAAGCAGCAAAGCAGAAAAGAAAACCAAATCTCTACCTAGTTCCAGACTGAATCCGAAGAAATATTAACAAGTAATAGTAATGAGAATTGAGAGGGAGGGTTGGAAGTGGCCTGGAGAATCACTGACACCTACTCCCTCATCCTGTAGATGAGCAAGCTGAGGCCAAAGGAGGAGCTCAGAAAAGGCCTTGCCCAAGGTCATTAAGCCAAGAATCAAATCACATTTTCTTGTTCCTGCTAAAGATTTTATATATTGCTGCTGCTTTTATATATTGCTGCTTCTCTAGACCCTCACAGAGAAACCCTTTGGGAACGCGAACCTGCCTGGCAGAGTGCGCTGCACCTGAGGGAGGCTTCTTGGGGGTTTGGTAAGCGTGGAGAATGCAGACTCAGCCTGGGCCTCCATATTTTCCATGAGGCTAAAATATTCTATCCCAACCAAGTCGCATTATCAGGCTGAGGAACCAAGGTCTTGGGAAAAGAACAAGAGAGGCAGATATTGACCAGAGACCCAAGTAAGCTTCCGACCACACCTCCAGCCTCAGGAAGGCAGAGAAGAAAGTAGCCCCTAAATTGTATACTACACCTTGATGTCACGACATTTGCTGCCATGAATTCCAAAGTCAAACCTTTTTTAAAAATGAAAACAAATCACAACTACACAGTGTCTTTAAAAATATTCTTGGCCGGGCGCGGTGGCTCAAGCCTGTAATCCCAGCACTTTGGGAGGCCGAGGCGGGCGGATCACGAGGTCAGGAGATAGAGACTATCTTGGCTAACACGGTGAAACCCTGTCTCTACTAAAAAAAAATACAAAAAACTAGCCGGTCGTGGTGGCGGGCGCCTGTAGTCCCGGCTACTCGGGAGGCTGAGGCAGGAGAATGGCGTGAACCCGGGAGGCGGAGCTTGCAGTGAGCTGAGATCCGGCTACTGCACTCCAGCCTGGGCGACAGAGCGAGACTCCGTCTCAAAAAAAAAAAAAAATTCTTAAATTACGACACAAAGAGTTCAGTGCCCAGATGGTGACAAGTCTGAATTAGTCAGCTGGCACTTCCCCTAGGAGAGCTGAGTAGAAGGGGAGGAGAAATGAGGCTCACACTTGGCTGCCCTTTTCCTAGAAATAATATATGCTTCACCTGGACGCAGCTAAGCCATCGCCTCTGCACATTTCTCTTAGATTCCTAGCAAGTTGCCTCGCCCTTTTAAAACTGTGGATAAGTGGAGTTTTAACACCCTGACACTCTGAGCCCAGGTCCAAAATGTCTAGAGATAAGTAAGTTAAACATTCTTTCCTCTCTTTTTTTTTTTTTTTTTTTTTTGGGAGACGGAGTCTCGCTCTGTCACCCAGGCGTGTGCAGTCAGTCGCACAATCTCGGCTCACTGCAATCTCTGCCTCCTGGGTTCAAGCGATTCTCCTGCCTCAGCCTCCTGAGTAGCTGGGACTACAGGCGCACGCCGCCATGCCCAACTAATTTTTTAAAGTAGAGACGGGGTTTCACTGTGTTGCCAGACTGTTCTCAAACTCCTAAATTCAGGCCTCGGCCTCCCAAAGTGCTAGGATTACAGGCGTGAGCCACTGTGTCCGGCCCATTCTTTTTTCAATAACCCCTAAGCCTCCAACTGTAGCAAAAAAAAAAACAAACCCTAGAAAACATACCCCAACTTGGCCCACCTTACATATAGAAAGAAAACAAAAAGTTCCTACCTCACTCTTAACAGACAGGGCTGGGTTTTGAAATCTGGTGTTCATCTCTGCTTACTGGACCAACGCAGTCTGTGAACTACCAGAAAAATCAACAGGGCCTTTCTCCTCAGCACAGCTTGGTATTTCTGAGAAAACCCAAACGATTTCAAATGCAACTGGTATCTCCAACTCCACTAAGGCTAGGATACTGTAAGACGAGCCAATCCCCTTTCAAATTTTTCTTTTTTCTTTTTTTTTTTGAGATGGAGTCTCGCTCTGTCGCCCAGGCTGGAGTGCAGTGGCACTATCTCCGCTCACTGCAACCTCCGCCTCCCAGGTTCAAGTGATTCTCCTGCTTCAGCCTCCCGAGCAGCTGGGACTACAGTTGCGCGCCACCATGCCCGGCTAATTTTTTGTATTTTTAGTAGAGACGGGGTTTCACCATATTGGTCAGGCTGGTCTTGAACTCCTGACCTCATGATTCACCTGCCTCAGCCTCCTAAAGTGTTGGGATTACAGGCGTGAGCCACTGCACCCAGCCCCCTTTCAAATTTTAAACAAAATATAAACACAGCTATTACCATTGCCTTTTCCAAGCCCATTCTTCACTGATATGGTCAATATTTTCAACGTTATATCCTCAGCTGAACGGCTGAGGGTGCCACAGACACAACTGTGTTCGTCATTCCATCTTAACTTTAATTATGGATTTCCTCTTTCACCTCAAAATATGCAAACTGCTTTGAGAAGGCAGCTATCATGAGGGCCTCTTTGCAAGCCCATCTCTATAATGATTAATCACAAAAGATAAACTTTATCAGGTAGTCAACTTTGGTGGAAAAACATTCAAGCCTAATAAAATATCCC